TGTTCCTATAATTGTCTACGTAGAAAATGAAAGCATCTATTGGCATAATATTGGAATTAAAGAGTGATGTAAGATTGTGTTGGTTATAAGGATAATATAAAAAATTCAGTTGAACCTGTATACCAGCCACAATTACATTGCTATTTATGGGAAGATACCTTTACGAATACGATTATGTCTAATAAAAGATGGACAATATTTTTAAGGAGAAAATTATAAAGCTTTTTGTCTATTTGATTATCTAATTTCTGGTAGTTATGTGTTAAAATCACCCACTGTGAGTGCAGATTTATATCACGTTTTAGAGCTAACATGATAAATTGAGGTAAAACATAAAGTGAAATTTACAGATCTTGAGTTTTAATAAATATGTGTACCCCACTCAAGACAACTCTCAGAATACCCTTCTAATTTTTATCACAATAGATTAATTCTGCATATTCTTGAATCGTTAAGTATGTACTATTGTGTCTGGCTTCTTTTTCTCAACAAAATTTTTAAGATTCAACCATATCAAAGGTATCAGTACTTTATTCTTTTTTATTGCTAAGTAGTATTCAGTTCGGCATTTTGGTTGTTTCTAGTTTTTAAACAGAGTTGTACAAATTGTTTTCTGGACATAAATTTTCATTTGTCTTGGGTAAGTGAATATCTAGGAGTGGAAAATAGGTTGGGTGTGTATTTAACTTTATAACTTAACAAGAAGTTTTCCAAAGTTTATCATTTCACACTCCCACCAGCAATATATGAAAGTTCCAATTTCTCCACATTCTCCCTAACTTTTGGTGTTCTCAGTGTTTTTAATTTTAGTCATTCTGGTGAGTGTAAATGATATCATGGGTTCATTTGCATTTTCTTAATGACTAATGATTTTGAGCACCTTTTCATGTATGTATTTACAATTTGCATATCTTTTTGAAGCATCCATTCAAGACTTCTGCCCCTATTATTGCGTTGGTTGTATTTTTGTTATTGATATGTAGGAGTTCTTTATTATATATTCAAGTCCCTTGTCTTCAGATGTATGTCTATATCTCTATGTCTGTCTGTCTGTCTGTCTATCTATCTATCTATCTATTATCTATCTATCATTTGTCTATTCATAGTGAACACTTCTCATTGGCTTTCCTTTTAATTTTCTTAATGGTGTCTTGATGAACAGCAGATTTTATATTTGATCATGTGAATTTATCATTTTTTGTTGTTGTTTAGTGCCTTTGTGTCCTCTTTTAGAAACCTGGCTACTCTAAGAAATTGAAGGTGTTATTTTTGTTTGCTTAATAGTTTGATTTTTTACATTTAGGTTTATGACTTGTGGAAAATTCATTTTTGTGAGATCTATGAAGTTGGGGGGTCAAAGGGTTCAGGCTGATTTTTTTTTTTTTCATATTTATCCAGGTCTTTATTGAAAATACTTTTATTCTTTTCATTGACTAGCCCTGGTGCATTTGTCAAAATAAATTAGCTGTATATACGCAGAAGTATTTCTGCACTTTATTTTGTTAATTATCAATTTGCTTATCCTAAATATGCTGATACTCCACTTCTGTGATTTCTGTAGCTTTGTAGTAAGACTTGAAATCAGGTAGTGCAAGTCATCCAAATTTGTTCTACTATTTAAATGTTGTTTTGGGTATTCTAGGTCCTTTGCTCTTCCTTACACATTTTTAAACTTTTTTATTTTAATTTTATTTTGAAATAGTTTAATGCATCAAGCTGCAAATTAGTGCAATTTCCACGTACCTTTTCCTCAGCTTTCTTTAATGCATATCATGTACATAACCATTGTACATGTCTTTAATGAGTGTGATGTTGCCCTTAAAGGGGCAAAAATTGGTATTGGGGGAGAAAGTAATCATAGTATTTGAATGTATAAAGCACTGTTATACATACAGTACATAAACAGATAGTATATCTGTGATATTAACATTTCATTAGTGCGGGCATTAGGAAATAATGTCTAAAAAGGCTTCTTTAGGGGCAAAAAGGAAAAAAAGGTTGGGACACACTGCTATAATTCATTGGAACTGAGGAAACCAGGAATCGACATTAATATAATACTGTTCACTCAATTACATATCTTAGTTGAGTTTTACCATTTTTTTACATGTACTTTATGTGCGTGTGTGTGTGTACTTATATGACATTTTATCATATGTGAAGATTACAGTAACCGTGATCGTAATCAGCACGCGGAACTGTTACGTCACCACGAAGAAAACCCCTCAGGTGACCCCCTAATAAGTCACACTGCTTCCTCACCTCTAACTACAGGCAACCAGTGATTTGTTTTCTATCACTCTAATTTTGTCATGCAAATGGAATGTTATGCAAATAGAATCATACAGTAAGTAACCCTTTGAGATATCTTTTTCTTCATTCGGCATAATGCCCTTGAGATCTGTGCAAGTGGCTGCTGCTGTTGTATATCAAAGTTTTCTGTTTTATTGCTGAGTAATATTCCATTATCTGGATGAACCATTTATCCAGTGGTCGAAGGACATTTGGATTATTTCCATGTTTTGGCTATTACAAATAAAGCTGCAGTGAATATTTGTACACAGATTTGTGAACATAAGTTTTCATTCCTCTAGGATAAATCCTCAGGAGTGTGTTTGTTGTGTCCTATGGTAAATTCTTTTACATTTATTGAGATTTATTTCTTAGCTCAGCCTTTGGTTTATTTTGGTAAATATTCAGCTGTTATTGAGTGGAGTATTCTATAAATGTTAGGTAAAGTAAGTTGATATTCAATTAATTTACAGTTCCAACATGTAAATTTAAGTATCTGTTTTTCTTATATGCTTTATATATTTCACATTTGTATATCATAGGTTTATTTTTATTTTATCAGAGTGTCTTCTCTATTTTTGTGGCAGATTTTATTTTAGAATGTCACAACATTATCTTCCATTTCTCATGTTCTTCTGTACTGTGGCCTTGCCACAAAGAATAGTCTTAGTTCCCTACCTGAGTAAGGCTCTCCTTAGTGACTTGAGATCAGTATAATGTAGAAGGAATGATGCTGCATGCTTCCGTGACAGGGTCAGAAAAGGCCATACCGCTTTCACTCCGTTATCTTAGAATGCTTGCTCTCTAGACATTCCTTCTCAGTGGCTCCTTCTCATGACCTGCCTGCTGTACTGTGAACCCAAACCAGATGGAGTGGCGATACTCTGGTTTATAGTCCTCACTGAGCCTGTCCTTCAGCCATTCTAGCCCAGATATCAGATACCTAAGTGAAGAAAGTCATCCTGGAAGTAAATCCTCCAGCCCCAGCTCTGAAGTCAACACCCGTCATTTGCATCTACCCAGATGAGGCCTAAGACATTGTGAAGCAGAGGAGAGTCTGCGTTACCTTTCTGAGTTCTTGACCTGTAGGATCCCTATAAAATGTTTATGATTTTACATCATTAGGTTTGATTAGTGGCAGTCGCATAACAATGCAGATCAGTTCTTTTTTTCTGTAGAGTTTGAAAGAGGTAAACTTTTCAGTCCCTACATATCTGAAAATATCTTTAACTTCACTCTTAATTGGCTCTAAAATTCTTGTAAGTAAAATAATTCTCTCCCAGAACTTTGAAGTTATTTCTTCTCCGTTGTCTTCTTTCATCGTATTGCCTGGGAAACATATAAATCTGATTCTCATTCTTTTGTGTGGGTAACGTATTTTCCCTTTTGAAGCTTTTAGAATATTTGAGCTTCAGCCATTTCATCTAAGTGCATGATCCATTTCTTTCCAAGTACTCATGTCTTTTTATTGGCTTCAGTATCTTTTTTATACATATTCTAAAATTTAATTTTCCTTATTCTTAGCTCTTACGAGTTAGTTACTTCTTTATTAATTACAGTTGGTTTCTACCTTTTACTGTGTTGTCCATCCAATTAAGGTGATTCTTGGCTATTTCGTTGTTGCTTTCATTTGCGTTTAGAGATGCTCTTTTATCCTCTGCAGATACTATATCAGTTCATAGCTGCCTGCATCCATAAGTTGTTGGGAACCATGTAATATCGGGAAAAGTGTAAGGGTTCCTGGTCCTCCTAGGTATTACTAGATACTGGGAAACTTCTCGATCATCTTTTGGGGATAATTACCTGTTTTTTGCTTCTTTTACCCATGGTTTGAAGGCAGCAGAAGAGGTGACCCACTTGGCTCCTACTCAGGTATTTCAACCAATAATGCTTTAGTTTCCTCCAGGAAAGTCTCTTGCTCCCCATTTTTGCTGCTTCAGAGCGTGGAGTAACACCCACTTTTGATATGTTTTTTCCTGTAGAAAAACTATGGAGCTAAGATTGCTTCCTGTGATCTGGTCTCATCTGCCTTTTGTCTTTCAGAGATTCCTGATCATTTTGGTTCTCTAAGGACACTTACGCCTTTGTTTTTCAGGGCTGTCTAGGAATTTAAGGAGCAGGTGGGACTCTGGAGCAGGTGCTCAGTCTACCATTTTAGTCTAATTGTGGTAGTTGTATTTAAAATGCACAGAAATCTCACATGCTTTGTTTTTATATGTACACATAGTTCCACTTTTTCTTCTGCTTGTTCTTTCTTTCTTAGGCTACTCTTAATACTAAATAAACTATTCGTGTGTCTCTTAATATTGCATCTCGTTATCAATAAAAATCATCTATCCTTGGATCTTAGTGTTAATAAGACTCTTGTGGATTATATTACTAAGAAAAGTTATAATTTTTCTTTAAATGTATGACTCAATTTTGACAATATTACATGGATGGAGTATATTATCAAATAAAAATGCTGCAATATAGTTTGCAGAAATTTTTCGATGTTGTCTATGTCCCTCCCATTTTTTCTGTTGTATATGAAATAATTTAGAATGGTTTTCAGTGACTAAAATATCACAATTTTATGAGCTTACGAAAGAGTCAGTTTTTAATATATTTACATAGGCTTTTATTTAAGTAAACCAGAGTGCTCATTTTCCCCCTAACCTGGTCATTTACTTGAGACTATATTAACGAAAGATTTTTTTTATTTTCAGAGCAGCATCTCAGACATGTCGAAAAAGATGTTTTGATTCCTAAAATAATGAGAGAAAAGGCCCGAGAGAGATGTTCTGAACAAGTTCAAGGTAAGATTCAAATATTCATATAAAGATCAAATACATTTTTTATAATATGATCTGAATTTAATCCTTAGCCTTAGAGTCAAGTAGTCGATGGATTAATATGTATGAATGGCTTCTCACCCTTTCACTGAGATACCAGTATTTCAGTTTTCAGAACTTCCAGGCAGTATTCAGTTCATTTACAATTTAACAATATTCTCTCAAATTATTAGTAAAAACATTTCTTTCCCCAGAAATGTAGTACATATAGAGAAAATCTTGATATGAGTATTTTGGAGAAACAAGTTAATCTGGTGATTTTGATAGAGAAAGAAGAAACATCAACTCTAACCTGTACTCGTTTTTCATTGGAATAAATACATATTTTCTAAGATGATTCTTTTATTTTGATGTCATTGTCTTACTGAATTGTTAATAGAATTCCAGTAGTACTTACAATGAGTATTTTTTTTTTTTTTAATGTTTTATGTTTCTAAGTGGAAGATACTTATGTAGATGCCTGCACTAAGCACGCACATTTGCATGTTTTCTTTGGAAAATGCTTTAATATATATATTTTTTTAGAATATTCCTCTGTTCTATAAATCTAGAGATGTATTGTTGATTAATATGTAATGTTAGAGTGAAAAATGTAAAGCAGTGAAAGGTGAAAAATGATACTCTAAATGATAGGTAAAAGCAGATGGCAGTATTACTGTGGAAAGGTCTTTTTAAAAAAAATCTACCTCTTGGAATGGCCATCTAAAAGAAGTAGTAGTAAAATTTTGCTGGCGAAGACTATTTTCTGGCTCCCTTCTTCACTTTCCCCTGTAGTCGTCTTCATTGAGGGACCACAGTAATTCTTAGAGTGATGGGCTGCAGCTCCACTGCAGATTTTTCTACAGGGAGTCAAGCTGTGTCAGCTATAGTTCTGAGATTGTGTCAGTACGTTTGGATGCTAGGAACATTTCTGTCGCTCTGATACCTGTCTCCTTAGAGTATGACCTTGGTGACCGATAGATGGAGGCAGTGAAAAAGAAGAATAGTTCCTTAGAAGTGACATTGTGTGATGGTCATTTCTGTTTCTTAAATGACTTATGACATATTCCAGTTTTAAATCTAACTGTAAATAAATTTATTAATAATTATTAGTATCATTCTATGGTATTACTCTTGCTTTCACTATGAATTAGTTGTTTAACCAAAGCACTATCCTTCCACACACACTCCCCAGGTGTCAGTAGAAATTAACCCATTGGCACCTGCAGACAGGGTTCAGTGCACATCTGGCATTGGCAAGTGTCATGCTGATAGTCTCCAGAGATAATCTTCCACCTGCCTCATAGAACTTTAAAATATGGATATGTCCTGATTTAGATGGGAGAGGATAAAACCTAAAAATGGATAATAAAGTTATAGGGTACTAGGAAAAGTTAACTTACTACTGATATATTGGCCTGAAGTTTTAAATATGAATTCTATTTATGCCGTTTTGTAACACATTATTCTGATATCTAGAATGAAAGAAAACTAGGTAACTCAATTACAGATTGAGTTTTTATTCACATGATTCAGATGAAGATGCAAATGATTATATGGCTTTGGGTTTCAGCGCTGTCTTTGCTTACGCTCTGACGGTGAAACTTTGGTTTTGGAAATGAGAGAAATAGAGTATAACTTTAAAATATTTGTTTATGTTCCACAAATACTACTTTGTAATGGTACAGAAAGAAAATGTTTAATTGCTGTTTCTTTATCAAAAGTTAAGTTGTTTAAGATGTTGACATGGTTAAGTTCTATTTAATTAATACACTTAAAAATTTAAAAGCATCTCAAATTTTGAGATCCACTTGTGTTATCTCAATGCATTTGTAATTATTAGAACATGTTATTAACGATTGATTTTTGAAGATTTGAATTTTTATATATAACCATATATTGACTTTTTTGGCCATATGGTCCAAAAACAGTGTTTTAGAATCTAAAATTGATTATTTTAAAAAAGATTAACCATGTGGATTAGGAAAAAACATGCACTGGTATTGCTCAAGCAGCAGAACAACAGCTACATTTAAACTGAACAGTAAATGTAATTTCCATTGTAGTTTATTTGCTATTTATAGACTTTGCTTTATTAAATAAGTATAGAATTTTATATAAAAGCATTATGCATGCTAATTGTATAGTTCTTAGATAAAGACATAGGAATTTTAATAAGTGATCTGACTTTTTGCTAAATGCCTGAAACATGATTATGTAGGAAAGCTTTTATGCATTTTCCTCTATATTTTTTTCCATGTCATTTCATCCCAGTTGATCATAAGAATTGGGTCAGACTGCCAGCAACTTAGGTTTGTGAAGGGAATGGAACAGCTTTTCTAGGGACAAAGAGAAATGAAATCACTTTCAATGAAAGAAAGATGCCTCATTATACTCACCAACAGCAGTTATTGACAGCTACACTTCCTATTAACAAGGAGCATTTAACTAAGAGTTTGGCTGTTGGATCTTTGGACTTGATCTAATTTGCTAGCATTAATTAGTTTCTTTTGAGCACAGACACTTGGTGCTCACAGCTATAGATTTGGAGGGCTAATTAGGATAGAAAATTGAACAGAATGGGGTAAGGCATTAACCTTCAACCATTACCAGCTGGGACACTGATAAAGACCACAGAAGTCCAAATGCTCCCTATTGATGTGAAGAGTACCCTAATGAATATCAATTTCAGCCAGGTTGCTATATTCTTACTAGTTCTCTTTTCGTGATAAATTTTAGCCAGCTTCCATGGTATTTTCATTATCTACATATATACTGTTGGCTTTTACTATACACTGATTTAGTCTAAGTTTCACATTTCATCTTATGTTTTAAACATAATTAAAATTCGTCTTAAGTAGGAGATAGCATTTAGAATATTTCACCGTTATATACTCCAGTACTAAAATTTAGCTTTTATATACAATTACATGATTCTAATTCTACAGTGAATTTTTATAAAGTCACAGTAACCCTGCCATTTGAATACAGTGAAACAACCTGAAACAAGAAAATCTTAGTTTTTGGATGTCAATTAAGCAATTCATATTAAACTGGAGTCAACTTGAAAATTTTTTCTTTATAAAATATATATAGTTTTTTTTTGGAAGAGAAAAATAGCAGCCATCACCTTAACTTTTTTTTGATGAGTAAAGGTGACCTGACCTACAGATTAGATACAGAATTGAGAAGCCTGATCTTTTATAAACTTTGACAGGATTATAAACTTCATTAGTAAAATATATCAAAAGAAAAGCTATCGAACAATTGATTTAAATAGAAAATTCAAATTTATATTATTCTTCTTTTGCCAGGGATATCATTTTCAGTGAATAGAGACACTAAAATACATAACCAAAGTATATTGGCAGACATTAACACAATGAACACTGAGTACTTTGAGAATAGAACTGAAGGAAAATTCTAGAATGGCCAGTGTCTCTCTTACTCCCTCCCACTTTCCCACCTGCCAAAAGCCAAAACAGAAATCCCTTCACCAGGTGTGATGATAGGAATCATTACTTTTTCTCAAAAAAGTTGAGAGTTATCAACTTGTGTTTTAGGAAATTGGTCGATGATCTCTGGAAGTTGCTTTCCACTCTGTGACATTTTCCATGTGTTTGACTCTTTGCTAACTTAATGATTTACACTTTCTATGTTAGTAATATTTTAAAAATATTTTTTTGTCATATGTATTGGTAAAGTATGCATTCTAGTACTATACATTTCTCTTCTAGAAATAGAGCCTCCATAAGAAGAAGAGTCCTGGAACTGCTGTGCTTTGTAAAAATCTGTCATTATATTTCTTTGCCTTTTTGAATTGCATAGTTGACATTTGGTATCAAGTCTCTATGTTGAATAATGAAGTTTGCTCTAAAAATAATAAGAATCTTTTATTTCTTTTATTTTTCTTCTGCTATGACAGATCAAGACCAAAAAAGTAATGTGTCATCAGGGATGGTCTGGAATTTTCATTAACCTAGCTAGATTCTCCTACTCACTTCTTTCATCCTTTGTGCCTTCTTTTACACTGTTTTAATGTTTCTTTTGTATCATTGTCTTCTGTCGCAGTCTTTATGATCTTTTGGCCAGTAGGTGGGGTTTAGTTCTAAAGGAATTATATAAAAAATAAGGAAGCATTGTTTCTTAGAAATATTATAAAGCTGTAGTTAAATAACATAGAAGATTAATAAAATGCCTGTCCTCTTCTATCAATTGTACACAACTGAAGTATGTTACATTTTGCTAAATTCCAAAGATAGGTGAATAGACAAAAAAGAAAATCAAATTAAGAATGCTTAGGATAGTCGTTAGGAGGTTTACAGGCAGAGAACTATCAAAACATCACTGAAACAAATTGGAGACTATAAATGATCAAAGTAATCAGTCTTCTGTCCAACTGGGTTACTTGAACCTGCCAAGAACTTTTCATTTGTTGTTTGAATTGTGCCATTATCAAATATATTTTTGCCATTTAACCAGTTCACCAATGTAAACTAACACTATAGTGGAGATGTCACCTATCTTTTGACTGGTTTGGATGTATCAGGAGGATAATATATAAAATCATCAAATATGAATATCTGTTATTTATAAGAGTATGTTATATATGGTGAGAAATATCAAGAGATATAAGGCACAGTTCCTCTCCTTTGGACCTACACTGGACTGTGTCAGGTGTCCCCAAGACCAGCCTTGGATTTGGTAGTTTGCTAGGAAGACTCATAGGACTCAGCATGTAGTCATACTCATGGTTAAGATTTATTCCAGCAGAAGGATACAAGCAAAACCAGCAAAGGGAAGAGGCACATGGGATGAAGTCCAGAGGAAACCAGGCGCAGGCTTCCAGAGTTCTCTTCCAGTAGAGTCACTCAGGATATCCCTAATTCTGCTAGCATCAAATTGTGACTGCACGTGTGCGATGTTGTTTGCCAGGAAAACTCATTAGAGACTCAGTCCTCAGAGTTTTTACTGGGAATTGGTCA